TGGAGGAACACAGAAGTGAGAAATAGAGCAGAGCCCTGCCTCACGCAGCAGCATGCAAGCCAGTGACTGTCATTTCAGATGGTGAGAACTCCGGGAAGAAGAAAATATATCAGGGCGAAGAGTCACGGTGAGAAAGGGAAGGGAGGGCCCTTGGCTGTGTCACACACAGAGATCCAGTGTCCTTCCTTTCCATGGAAGTGGCTTTTGAGCCAAGACAGGATGACAAGAAGGAGCTGGAGGCAGCACGCAGGCAGATGGAAGAGCAAGCCCAGTACTGAGGGCCTGGGGCAAGCGTGAACTGGCCTGGGGCGTTCAAGGACACCTCTGTGGCCAGAGATGGCCTTGGGCAGAGTCGGGGAGGCTGGTAGTTGGGAGCCAGGATGCTGAGGGCCACAGTCGGCAGTTGGAGTGTATTCACGGGGGCAGTGGGAAGTCATTGGAAGGTTTATGGTAAGAGGGTGACATGTTCTGATTTATGTCTCCAAGAGGTCTTTCTAGCTGCTTGGTGGAGAATGGCTTGGAGGGGTGGGGAGCCTCATCAAGAGATAGGGCCGTCATCTTGGGGATGTTTAGATTGGGGTCATATTGGGATTGGAGGGAAGTAAATGGCTTTGAGATGTCCACTTTGGCAGTAGAGCCAAAACCACCTGGATTGCTGGTGGATGGGATGTGGGGAGGGGTGAGACACACAGCTGGCTGTTGGGTTTTTGTTGCTCAGCCTCACAAACAGCGGCACCAGTTGTGAGATGGAAACAGGTTTTGGATGTGTCATGTAGAGATAGACCGAGACAGCTGGACATATGAGCCAATTTGTGTTACTCTTAGAGTCCACCTGTGTGTCTCAGGCATGACAGAAGCAAGGAACTGGGGTATCCCAGGGTTTGAAAGAGGAGCACAGGGAAGGTTGCCTCCGGCAGAGGAGGAGCATTGGCGACCTCCACAGCCCCTTGTGATGGGGGCAACACAGTTGCATCCTGGGGAGCCCTTTAGCCAGGGAGACCCCACTCAGGGTGCTTCCAGAGATGCCCTAGACTTTGATACCCTCCGCAACTAAAGAGACTTTCAGCAGAATTCCTGCTGCCCTGACAAGCCAGGGGTGGGAGGAGAACGGCATGCTTGCGGCTGTGGGCTCTGCTACCAGCTGTGCTGTCCAGCCCCACAGCAACATCTGGGCTGCTCAGAGCCTGAACCAGCCTCTCTACTGACCTCCCCATTGTGCCCTGCTTGCCTTGCTCTGTTGCTGGGTTTCTATATACATGTTCCCAAGTCCCTTTCCTGGGTGTGGCTTCCTTCCCCAGCCAGACTGTGAGCTCTGGGCAAGCAAGGGCAAGACTTTCCTCCCTGCCCCATAGGGAAGGGGCTTTCTTGGGTACTGACACAGGCTGATTTCCAGGGGACATGGCATAGACATTTGGGTCTCCCTGAGGGTACTGCCAGGAAAGAAGGGAAGAAAGGCCCCACTGGCCCACACTCCGGAGGGCTCCTCTTCTCACAGTGAGGAGTCTGGGGGCTCTTTGCAGCTCTTTTTTGACCACACTTGAGTACCCAGCCTTCCTGGCGCAGACACCTCTAAGCTTGCTGCCAGGGCCTGTGCAGGGCCCTTCCCAGGCTGTGTCCTGAGGGGACCATCCTGCCTCTATGCCCACCCCTTGACCCACTTACAAGTGACTGTTCACAGGAGTGGCATGGATGTGGCTTGGCTGTGGGCCAGGGTCCCCTGCTGGGGGGCACAGTCAGGGAAGAGAAGGGAGGTGGGCTGTGCTCTGGAGTGGTTTTCTAAGAGCTCTCATTTCAAGCCTGACCCTCCAGGGCGTTATGATGGTGCCTTCTGTCAAGGTAGGAGAACAGAATATATTTTCCTTTGTTGGCTTGACTTACGACTTTATCCAAATCTGTGGCTTGTGGAACTTGATTTGCGCCTTGTCCTGGACTCTCCAACCCTGGGGCAGGCCTGCCTCATTACCCCAGCTCAGCACTAGGCCATGTGCCTCGGGGAGGCTGCCGTTCTGCCCCGATGGGCCCCCGTCTCTGCCTTCTGCGCCCTTGGCCTCCTGCACAGCTTTCCTGTCTGTGGCAGAGGGCTGGGTTCTGAAGGCTGGTGTCTCAGTCAGCTCAGGCTGTGACAACATAAACACCAGAGGCTGGGGGACTGAAATAACAAACACTGCTTCCCACAGCTCTGGAGGCTGGAAGTCTGGGTTGAGAGTGCCAGCACGGGGGCTTCTGGTGAGGCCTTCTTTTTTTCTTTTTCTTTTTTTTGACTTGTAGATGGCTGCCTTCTCCCTGTGCCCTCACAGGACAAAGAGAGATCATCTCTGGTCTCTTTTTATAAGGGCACTCATCCCACTCATGGGGTGCTAACTTCATGACCTGATGATCTTCCGAAGACCTCATCTCCAAATGCCATCACATCCAGGGCTAGGAATTCAACATAGGAATGTGGGAGGGACACAAAAGTGCAGTCCTTAGCAACTGGGAAGTGAAGGAGCTTAATAATAATGACCCCACCCTTGCATCTGTGATGGGTGTGCAGAGAGCACTTTGTTAGCTAGTTTAATTCACAAGCAGCCTTGCAAAGCAGGGGGCAGATGTCTAGCTTGTTTGCGGGGGAAGCTGAGTTGTGGTGGTGGGGAGGCAGGTGTGGAGGATGGCCGGCTCTGAGACTGTGAATGGTGCTGTGCCACTCGCCCTCCCCAAGCCCCTGGTGTCTTAGCTCAGACACCAGAGAGTTGGGCGAGCTGGGGAGCTAGTGGCATCCTGGACAACCAAGACTTAGAAAGGTTAGGATTTGCCCAAGGTCATAGACATGTCACATTCACCTAAGTGTTAAGGAGGCAAAAGTGGGATCTTCCCCCCAGCTGGTGCTGGGGGCTCTGGTGCTCAGGGACCTGCAGGGGAGAGCCTCATGGTCTCAGGACACAGGTGCCTGAGCACAACCAGACGCAGAGAATGGACCAGAGACACTAGCTTCATAATCAGATCTGGTCTGCGTCACAGACCCAGGCTCTAGCCCAGCCACAGACCGGCCTGCTCTCTAGGGCCCACCATTCCTTCCAGGCCATGGCAGATGCTGAACAGTGTCAGCTTAGCCAGGAGCTCAAACGCTGACAGCCCCAGAGCTGGTCTGTGCCCCAGTGGTGCTGGGCTGCAGGGCACACAGCACCGTCTACACCATCGCACTGTTTGCAGGGCCTGGGGAGGCGAGAAGCTGGGAAGTCCCGCTTGGCCTCGGACCCAGCTTGCTGTGTGAATCTGGGCACGTCATTCAGCCACTTTGGGTTTGAGTTGTTTTATCCACAAAATGGAACTACTGAGAGTTACCCTTTCCTCACTAGGTCAATCTAACAATCTAATATGGTGGCTGCAGGCCTCAGAATTGGGCAGACCTGGCTACAACATCTGGCCTTTTCACTGCCACTGTGATCTCGGGCAAGTTCCTTTACTTCTCTGAGCCTTAGTATAAAACAAATGAACAATATCTTCAGCAAAGGATTTTTGTGAGTTTAAATAGAGGATGGCTGTGGAATTTCATGTCCATGGTCAGGTGTGGCACTGTTGTCCCCTCTGTCACCAGGGCCATGGGGAAATGGTGGGGCAAGCTTAAGCTACCAGATCCCGGAAGCTTTCGCTGTCCACTTCATCCTGGGAACACTCCCAGCTTTGCAGCTGGAACCTTCAGGGTCATGCCCTTGATGGGGGCCACAGGTGGGGGTGACTGCAGGTGATGAGCTGTGGACAAAAAGTATTCATCTTTGGTCACTAGCATCAGAACATCCTGCCACTAGCTACAGGGCCGTAGCTGGAAGACCAGTAGACAGGGGCCGACATATCTAGGCTCTGTCTCTTTGGGCCTAGTTTCCACATCTGAAATGGGCTAAAACAAGGCCCCGGGAAAATTGAACCAAACCCCCCCCAAAAAGGGGGACCTTGCCCGGGAAAAAGAAGGAAGGAAGAAAATGGGGGCTGGGTGGCTAGACCCACTCCAAAGTCTCCCAGGCCACAGAGGCAAGGCCAGAGCTTCCAGAGACTTTCCTCTAGACTTGCCTCCACCTCTCCATCCCCCACTGCCCTGTCACCAAGGGGACCCCAGCATGGTAGCTTTGGGAGGGGGGAGCAGGATATGCCTACCTTGGCCCTGTCCAGCTACACTGCAGCCGCCCACTCGGAGCTGCAGGAGTGGAGAGGGGCTGGTGGCAGTGGGCTGGGGTCAAGGGTGCTGTAAAGGAGAGCATTACCCCAAATACATATTAGCCAATCAGGAAGATTAATTATTAATAACAACTTATCAATTAATAATGGTTTGTAATTTATTGAACACTCCTCTACCCATTACTAAGCACTTTATATGTATAATTTACTTCTTTTGACAACTCACTCAGATAAGAATTTTTATCACCATTTTCCAGATGAGAAAACATGATCAGAGAGGTTCAAGGTTACACAGCTAGGAACTGGGTAGGACCTGGGCTTGGGATCAAGGTCTGCCTGAACTTGGGGCCTGTGAGCCTGTGCCGCTTCCTCTGCACTTCCGTGGCTGCCCTGTGTGGGTCTTGAGAATTTAGTGATAGGTTTAGGGAAACACACGCCTGGCATGTCTGTAGACCTTCGTTCCCTGAGGAGCCTCAGGCTGGCAGGCTTTTCTCCCTGGCGTCCTCACACCCCAGGCAAGCTGAGAAAGCGGCTTCTCTGCCCACTTCTGGGCTGCATGGGGCTCCAGGTGTCCTTTCACATGTCCCGATGTCTAGACCTTTCAGGAGGAGCCCCCATCTGTACAGATGCCAGGAGATGTCCCTCTGGGACCCTGCAGCCTGCAGTCTTCCTCTTCCGAGGCCTGGACTGATGCCTTCCCACCCCACCCCCAGCCTGGACTTGCACCGAGCGGGCGCCCTGCAGAGTCCATGCAGAGCAGTGCCCACCACCTGCTCCAGGGCAGAGAAAGGGGCCGCTGGTCCTCCTGGCTGCTCACCTATCCCAGGCAATTTCTCCTCCTCTGCTGGCAGATCTTCCACATGACCTACGACCTGGCCAGTGCCGTGGTGCGCATCGTGAACCTCATCGGCATGATGCTCCTACTCTGCCACTGGGATGGCTGCCTGCAGTTCCTGGTACCCATGCTGCAGGACTTTCCTGATGACTGCTGGGTGTCCATCAACAACATGGTGGTGAGTGCACCTAGCCCGGTTCTCTCTCTAAGCCATAGGCGGGCTCTCCAGAGGTAGGGAGGCGAGATGTGGACTTCCAGCATGTAGGACCCTGAGTGCCGCCCAGAGCTGAGGGGCATGTAGCTCTACCCAGTACAGGCCCAATGGCTTGCTTCCAGTCCAGGAATCCATTCACAGCTCTGGGTTGGGAGCTGGTACCTCCACCTTCTCACAGCCTCCATTGCAACTGCGAGCCTCAGTATTTCATCTTAGTTTTACCAGGGACACTAAGACCTGGGCGGCCTCGGGTTGTATCAGGTGTGGCAATGCTGGGCTGGCAGCTCCTGGCCTCCTGCCTCTGCCCCTTAGAAGCCAAGTCCTTAAAAGCTGAGCCTGAGGCTGGGTGCAGTGGCTCATACCAGTAATCCCAGTGCTTTAGGAAGCCGAGGCAGGAGGATCGCTTCAGCCCAGGAATTGTAAACCAGCCCGAGCAACATAGGGAGACCCCTGACTACAAAAAATAAATAAAATTTATTTTTAAAAGATTAGCCGGGTGTGGTGGCAAGCACATGTGTCCCGGCTATACAGGAGGATCCCTTGAGCTCACTTGCACTTCAGCCTGGGTAACAGAGCAAGATCTTGTCTCAAAATGAATAAATTAATAAAAATAAAAAAACAAAAAGCCGAGCCTAAGAAAACAGACGCCTTTGAGGGTACTATTTGCAGCTCATGCAGACTCCCAGATCATGCGTGGTCACTTTCTACTCCAACAGCAGAGCTAGGCTGCCCCCACCCCCAACATATCCTGGTCTGAGGTGGGGCCCTGATGGGGAGGACAGGCAGGATGGAGGCTGACCCCACCCTATCCCTCCAACCTTGCGAGTGGGTCAGTGTGGGTGGGAGAAGTTGAACTTGGGGCCTTGGAAGCCATAGGGCAAAGTCTTCAGTCCCCTTGTGGATAAGGTGGGCTCCAGGCAGGACAGAAGACACCCTGGATCTATGAGCCCTTCTGGTCTCTGGTGAACCCCTTCCTCTCCCAGGCTCTGTCCCAGTCAGTTTGGTTTGGTCTGAAGGCAAATTCCCAGGGCCCCAGGGGAGGAAAAATCGGCTTTGAAAGAGGTGAAAGAGACCCTGAGGCATCTTTCAGCATCAAACAGGCCTTTACAAAACAGCCTTTTGATGAGCTAAGTGTAAATGAATCGGCCATATGGATTGAATTCCCTGTTCCCAGAGGCTCAGCAGTAAAGGCTGGAAACCCTGACTGAAGGCCACTGGGGGCCTGCCCCTGTTCCCCAAGGCTGGGAACCCAGGCCCCTTCCACTCCTGGGGATCAGCCCTGCTGGTCCCCACTCCAGTCTAGACTGAGCCACCAGACCCAAGGAGCCAGCTCAGCTCTGTTCCGGGCGGTCTGGCTGATCTTGAATATGGCTCGAGGCTCACGGCTCCCACGCCTTCTCATGGGGGCTGCGCCTCTGGCAGGTGCTCTGCGGGCCTGGGTAGGTTTCTACACTGTGGCTCATGCCTCTGCCCTGTGAGCAGAAAGACGCCAGGGAGGTGGCCGATGCTGGCATTCATGTAGTTCAGCTGGCCCTCATCTGGGGCAGTGTCCTCTCTCTGTGAGGGTGGCAGGCCCACACATGCACTAAATTCAAGAGATGGCCCTTCCGATCCCAATGTTCCCACGCTGAGCCTTCCTTGAGACACCGACTGGCTTTGTAGACAAAAATAGCCAAGAGCTTCCCTCCTCCTGTCCCCACGCCTTGTGTGTTCCGGAGAATCTGCCTTGGGGGTAGTGGGAGGAGAACTGGTGGCCGCAGCCCTGGCAGAGGCGGGCAGGGTTCATGCAGGAGGCCAGTTAGCTCACAGCTTTAAGTTTTGCTCACCCAAAATGAGGGCAGTGTTTTTCGGCTCAGTCTGCCAGAGCTTGTACCCCCAGGGGAAGCATATCTGGTTTTATAATTGAGGTCAGTGGGGAAACGGGCTTCACTTGGCAGCTGTTTAGAGGGTAGGGGGTGGAGCTGTTTTAGCAAGGGAAGGACAGCAGGGTGGCTCAGCCCGGGGCCTTTGCCACCCAGCCAGGAGGCTCCAAGCTGCCCCATGGGGGCTGGGCCATGCTGGCTCCCGTACCTTTACTGGCGCTTCCAGGTCTGATCCCTGCCTCCATTGCAAGAGGAAGGCGCAAGAGGGGGACTCGCTGGCAGCACATGCTGCCTCTGTGGGCCTCCTGCCCCTCACCCAAGGCTTTCGGCCAACAGCAAGGTTGGGGAGCCCTGGGCCCAGCCACTGAGAAAGTTAGGTTGAGGTGAGGAGGTGGCAGGGACTTTTCTTGCTAGTGAGAAGGGCCTTCCCTCTCATCCATTGCCCCCATCCATCCGTCTGTCCACAGAACAACTCCTGGGGGAAGCAGTACTCCTACGCGCTCTTTAAGGCCATGAGCCACATGCTGTGCATCGGCTACGGACGGCAGGCGCCCGTGGGCATGTCCGACGTCTGGCTCACCATGCTCAGCATGATCGTGGGCGCCACCTGCTACGCCATGTTCATTGGCCACGCCACTGCCCTCATCCAGTCCCTGGACTCCTCCCGGCGCCAGTACCAGGAAAAGGTAGGTCCACCCAGGGAGGACCTGCACGTTGGTCCCTCCCAAGAGGGAGCACAGGCCACCAGCCAGTGGGGCCCCAGCAGGAACCGCCCTGTTCCCACCCCCTGGGATCGGGACTCCCAGTGTGAGGGAAGAGCAGGAGGAGGGGGACACCTCTGAGATGTGAAGAGTTTCAGCTCCCTGGCCTGGCACCTCCACATGTCTTTTTATCTGTGCCCACCTTCCCCATCTCCGGTGTCACTGGGGCCTGTGGCTCCTGGCTGAGGCCTTGTGCCCTCTGTGCTGCTCCGGTAGGCATTTGACAGTCACCACACCCTTCCTGGCCACTCAGTCGTTCTGCAGGACCACACTCTCGCGGTGTTCCTCCTGCCCCTCTGGCCACTCCCCCGTCCCCCTTTGCTAGCTTCTCTTCCCAGTCACTGCCACTGGAGTCCCCAGTGGCTCAGGCCTCGCCCCGACCCTCCCTGTGTCTGGGGCCCCGGTGCTACGGTTTCACCACCCAGGCCCGCAGGCTCTGCGCCCATCCTCACGCAGTGGGGCCTGTACAGCATCAGCAGCCCCAGCTCATCTCTCAGCTCCAGGTGGTTTATTTCATTCCTCTCTGGACATGTCACACCCCTCTTGTCTGTAATGAGAAGTCCGCCCTGTCCTCTCTACTCCACCCTCTGCTCTTCCCAGACCCCAGGCCAGAGACTAGGAGCCATCCCTGACCTCTCTCTGTCATCAGTGCCTACCTCAAAGCCACAGCTCCTTCTCTGCATCCCAGCCACCCTCCCCCATCACCAGCTTCATCTCTCCCTGGGGTCTCAACAGTAGCCCCCTCACCATGGAGAATGAGTCCTGTGGCTTGGAGTCAGGCCCCCTGGGTCCTGCCCCAGCTTCTCTGCTGCCGAGCTCTGGTGGAGTGTGGGCCTGCGCCTCCGCGGCGTGGGGCCTTGTTTCCTCATCTGCAGGGCGGGGGTGGTACTGGGCATCAGCCCGTGGGGGTTGCAAGTAAGGTCCCCTGTGTTTATCAGCTAGGGAAGTTCTGCCCTGGCTGCTTCCGCTGCACGCCTCACACAGCGGTTGGAGCGGCATCTAAAACACATCAGCCCGATCCTCTCCTTAAAACTCTTCAGGGACTTCACGTTGCTCTGAAGACATATATTCACTCCTAAGCATGTTTTCCCAGCCCGGCATTTGAGGGGCAAAACCAGGTCTCTGCCCTCGTGCTCAGCTCCTGCCCTGGGCCCTGCACCCTTTATTTCAGCCTGGCCAGATGTCTCTCCCCATGCCCGCTCCTGCCGTGGGGCCCAGACACAGGCTTTCACCCTCAACTATCCTCCCCGCTCTCCACCTGACACCCTCTCTGCATCCAACCTCACCTCTTGGAGAAGCCTTCTGTGACCCGGCCAGCTCCTCACCCGTCATGTGACCCCATGGCACCCTCTCCTCCTTCACCACACTCGGCACTCCGGTGATGATGTTATTAACTATAGGCAGCCATCTGTTTAACGTCCACCTTCCCTCTCCAGGCCACGGCTCCATGAGGGGAGGACCCAGTATGTCGTTCTCCATTTTATGCCCCATGCCTGGCATATGGTAGGGTCAGCATTTGTGGATTCATTGCCTACCTGCGGATGACTGACAGGCAGTGTGGAGGTCCAGGTCCCATGATGCCAAGAAGAGAGCTCAGGAGAGCCTGCAGAGCCGGGAGGGAAGGAGAGCTCACCCTGAGGAGGCAGAGGAAGGAGAAGGTGGAAGAGAATTCTAGGCCAGGCATCAGAATGAGCACGAGCATAGGTGTGGTGGCAGAGAAATTAGCCTGGCTAGAACGCAGGGCCCTGGGTTAGAAGGGAGCAGACGGGAAGGGAGGTAAAAAAGGCATCGAGCTAAAAAGATCAGGGCTTAGCCCAGGCCCAGGTGAGGGATCGTTCTGGAGCCAGCACCAGGGCCCAGCCTGTGACTGGGGTGGGTCTCAGCATGTGAGTGGGGCCAGGGCTCAGTGTGTGACCAAGGCTAGGGTTTAGTCTGGGGTCAGGATCAGGGATTAGTATAGAAAAAGCGTTTGGGGCCAGGTGTGGTGGCTCACACCTATAATCGCAGCACTTTGGGAGGCCAAGGCAGGCAGATCACCTGAGGTCAAGAGTCCATGACCAGCCTGGCCAACATGGTGAAACTTCATCTCTACTAAAAGTAAAAAAAAAAAATAGCTAGGCGTGGCAGTACACACCTGTAGTCCCAGCTATTTAGGGAGGCTGAGGCAGGAGAATCGCTTGAACCCAGGAGGCAGAGGTTGCAGTGAGCCAAGATTGCACCACTGCACTCCAGCCTGGGTGACAGAGGGAGA